GATCTTGCACGAGGCAAAATCAACATCTGCCCAGATCTTAGATTGCGTAAGCAATACAAAGTATCGCTTAAGCGATTCATCGCTTTTACTCTTAAGCAATCTATAATCGCTTAAGCGACCCACAATAAAGGGATGAATCGCTTTTACTCTGGGTCGCTTAAGCAATTACAGATCGCTTAAGAGATCTTCTACGAGGCAGAATCATCTACCAGTCTAAGATCGCTTAAGCGATACTTTTGCATCGCTTAAGCGATTCAACTCTTTTACTCTTAAGCAATCTGTAATCGCTTAAGCGACCAAGAGTAAAAGTGATTAATCCTTTTACTCTGGGTCGCTTAAGTGATTACAAATCGCTTAAGAGATCTACGAGGCCGAATCAACATCTGCCAGTTCTAAGATTGCTTAAGTGATACTTAGTATCACTTAAGCGATCAACTCTTTTACTCTTAAGCGATTACAGATCGCTTAAGAGATCTTCTATGAGGCAGAATCAACATCTACCAGATCTAAGATCGCTTAAGCGATTCATTGCTTTTACTCTTAAGCGATCCTAAATTGTTTAAGCCACCAAGAGTAAAAGCCATCAATCTCTTAAACAATACAAAAGATCGTTTAAGCGATTTTAGTTCTTGTTAGATGTTCAGTATGCTTCGGACATTATCGCTTAAGCGATCCTACATCGCTTAAGCGACAATACAGATACCTTTTCTTCGGCGGCTTCCTCCTCCTCACCTGAACTCTCGCGGGACTCTTCTTCCTTGCCTGAATTCTGGCCGGCCTACTCTTCCTCGCCAGAACCGTTTTGCTCCTATTCTTTCTCTTGTTCTGCCGCCGTCATCTCCGCTGTTGGAACACCTTCATTGATCGGAACATCCACTGGAGCAGCCATTGAACTACTTGCGCCACCAAACTCTACGATTCGAAGAGGCATTGGGTTTTCTTCGTCATTGTGAATGTCAGCCATTGTTTTAAGAAAGGAAGAAGCTTTAGGATTGAATTTGGGTTTGAAAATTTNGACGACTGTTGTATAGTGCTTTTGTAAGTTCAGGTTTCAACAATAAATGGTTGAATCATGGCGAACAAAACAATGCTTTTTGCTGCAGTTGACTAATTTAATTTCCGTCTTATCTGGTTTTAAAACACTTGAATAACATGTATATACAATAACACACATTGTCGAAATTAACAATGGTTTTTTGCAGTATATATATATATATATATATATATATACTGCTTTTGTAAGCTGAGGTTACAATAATAAAAGTCGAATCATGCCGAACAATTGTCTGTATATTTGTCGAACAACTTCCACCAATGCTTTTGTTGTGGTTGATTGATTAATGTGCTGTCGCATTTCCTTATGATTGAAATTGTTATTGAATGACCACGTCTGATTGTAACAATCGATATAAGTAATTAGTTTGTACAATCTGAGTAAACAAAAGCAACTGGTAGCATGAATTATTGTAATATAGTTATTTGTTTCTAATACAATACCTTTGACACCACGTAATTTTAAGCAATGTAAACAAATATTATGATACAGGAAAAGCTATATAACTATATAAATTCAGCATAAACACCTCTGTTTTTTGAGATAAACTATATAAAAAATCATTACAAGGCTGTCACATTTCCTTATAATTGAAATTATTGTTGAATGACCGCGTCTGATTGTAGCAATCGATGTGAGTCATTAGTTTGTAAAATCTGAGTAAACGAAAGCAACTAGGGAGCATTCTCATTGAAACAATTTCTCTCACCATTATAATTGTTATTACAGTCTTCAATTTATAACAAGACTTTATGTATTTTTCTTATGAATAAAACATAGCAGCTCTCTCATTATGCCAGAAGATACTCTACTTAATTGACAAGACAAAAATTAATCGAATCGAAGCTTTCCAAAGAAAATTTATTTAAACATAAAAACCCGAAAAATAAAATTAAAAAAAAAAGAAAAATAACAAAATGTTTTCTTATAATCAATATTTGACATATTTTTTTGTGAAACAATAATCGTTTACAATTTCTTAAAAGATAAAAATTCAATAATAAAATAAAAATAATATAATAAATAAACTAGCGCAACGTGCAGGTGTGCCATCTAATACTTATATAATACGCAACTCATGTGTGAGCCTCAAATTGGTCATAAGAAATTATTTAATTACAAGGTCTCATTTTTTTTTTTTTTTTGAGCATATACTAGGGTGAATAATGTTATAACAAAAAAGCATTTTATAAATAAATTTGTATATCAAATATTAGTCCAATTAATTTTTTTTCGTATGCCCGATTTTTCCTAGTCTTTTTATTAAGAACAAAAAATGTCAGTTAAAAAAAATGGGTTAGTGCCAAAATTGGATTAGCTAACTCTAGCCCCGATATTAATTATAAACCCAGATAGTCATGGGCCAAGTAAAGTTTAATATTCAACACTCCTTAAAACTTTATTTGGGCGTGACTCTTGAGTGCAAAAGTTGTTGCTTGTTTTCAATAACAAACTCGGTGATCCTGAGATAGTTGCAGACTCTAGGAAATTCAGCAGTACTTCACTAGTTATAATTCTAGCTGAAGATTTTGTTTATTTGTGCGATGTTAAATCTTGTCAGGTAGGATGTTTTTACTCATAGATACTAGTTGTGGTTCCCCCACCCCCCCAAAATAAAAAAAATAAAAAAAGTATATACATAGTGAAAGTGGTTTTCAAATCACCTTACGTAGTATCCATTCTCCCTATATTATGTTATGATTCTGTGCATGCATATGATTAGTTGTGATTTTGCCCAAACGATGTAAGATGTCGTAGGGTATCATAGATTGTTGTATTGCCAACTCGAGCAATGCAGGATTGATTAATGGTTATACTCGTGCGATGTTAGATCTTGCCGAGTAAGACGTTTTACCCCTAGATATTAGTTGTGATGAGAGTTTCACATGGGATTCCCCGAATGCAGGATTTCGCCAAGCATGATGGATTAGTGATTTCCGCGATGTTAGATCTTGCAGGTAAGACGTTTCTACCCCTAGATACTGGTTGTGTGAGAGTTGGTGGTGTGTTTTGGTTTGGTACAGAATTCTCTCATTCTTTTCTCTTTTCTCTTCATATATTTTCATTTTAATTGAAAGCCAACTTCCTTTAGTTTTTCAGACGAGGCAGCCATGGTGTTCTTTAGGACTGTAACCGCGCTTTCTCGTCTACGTTCTCGCGTTGTAAGTGTTTTTTTTTCAACTTTCCACTTTTATATTTCAAACTAACTTCTTCTTTTGCTTTATTTTGTTGATTCATTGAATCTTCGTCACAGGGCCAACAGTCTAATCTCGCCAATTCTGTCAGTTGGCTTCAAATGCAAACCTCTTCTGATCTTGTACTTTTTTTTCCCTCTTTTCGTGCTTCTCTGCTTTGTTTTCTTTTTTGTTTTTGATATCGACTCAATTGATGTTTGGGCATTGTTCAGATCTTTCCGCCACTCATTTTTTTCAAAGTTTCCTAGTTGCTGTTTTTATTATTCACTTTCTTGCTATTTGTCTCTATTCAAGTTTTGACAATTTATTTCCATTTGGTCTCACAAGGTGTTCAATTAAATATATCTACTTTCAGCTTCTTGATTCATGTCTGCTCTAGAACATTTGCTTTCAAACAAGGGAGTGAAGTTCATAGGAGAATCTTGAAATCTGGGTTCGGAAATTATCTATCTCTGATTAATAATTTAATGGGCATGTATAAAAACTGTGGAAAATTGAAGGCAGTGTGTCAATTGTTCGAAAAAATGCCCAGTAGAGATGTTGTTAATTGGAATACCATGATATCTTCTTATGTTACAATGGGTTTGTATAGAGAAGCGTTGGATTCATTTCGTAAAATGATAGTCAATGGTGTTAATCTTGATGAGATAATCCTGGTCAGCTTGGTTTCAGCAAGTGCAAAGTTGAGGGATGTGAAAATGGGAGAGGCGTTGCATCTCTACATTGAGGAGAAAAATTTAAGCATAGTTGGAAGTTTGTTGAATTGTTTGGTGGATATGTATATCAAGTGTGGGAAAATGGAGGAAGCACAAAAGCTTCTGGATAGATGCGGTGCTGATGATGTTGATGTTGTTTTGGGAACTACATTGATTAGTGGGTATGTGAAGTCGAATAAAATAGATGTGGCTAGGTTCCTGTTTGACCAGATGACAGAGAGGAGCTTGATTTCATGGACTGCAATGATTTCTGGTTATGTCCAAGGTGGATATTTTTGTGAGAGTTTGTAGTTATTTAGAGAAATGAGGTTCAAAGATGTTTGGCCAGATGAGGTTGTGCTCATAACAGCACTTTCTGCAAGTGTTGAAGTGGGTGAATTTCGGTTTGGCAGATCTATCCACTGCTTGATTTTAAAGCATGGAATGAGTGTTGATGGGTTTCTTGGAAATGTTCTGATAGACTTGTATGCAGAATGTGAACAAGTTAATGAAGCATGCAGAATCTTTGAGCAGTTGCCTTACAAGACTATTGTGACTTGGAATACAATGTTGGATGGATTTTGCAGAAATGGAAATATTGCAAAGGCAAGAGCCTTTTTTGATGTGATTCCTGAAAAAGATGTTGGATGGATTTTGCAGAAATGGAAATATTGCAAAGGCAAGAGCCTTCTTTGATGTGATTCCTGAAAAAGATGTGATTTCGTGGAACACTATGATGAACTGCAATGCTAGATATAATCAGTTTCAGGAGTTGTTTGAGTTTTTCCACAAGATGCAGAGTTCTCGTATAAAAACTGACAAGTTCACTTTGGTTAGTTTGCTATATCATCCTGTGCTAGCGTTGGAGCCCTTAATCATGGAATTTGGGTCCATGTTTACATGAAGAAAAATCAAATTAGTCTAGATAGCATGTTAGGAACTTGTCTAATTGACATGTATGGAAGGTGTGGTTGCTATGAAATAGCCTAGGAGTTGTTTTCTGAAATTAGTGAGAGGAATATATTTGTATGGACTGCAATGATAGCAACATATGCCATGGCGGAACAAGCGCAGCAATTGATTTATACTTGGAAATGGAAAACTGGAATAAAGCCCAATCATGTCACTTTTATAGCTCTTCTAACTGCCTGTAGTCATGGAGGTTTAATAGATGAAGGTTACGAATTCTTCCATAAGATGAGTAGTTACGACATAAACCCAAAGATACAGCATTATGGATGTATGGTTGATATCCTGGGTCGTGCTGGGCATTTAGATGAGGCATCAAATTCCATTGCTTCCATGCCAATTAAACCAGATGCTTGCATATGGAGTTCCTTGTTGAGAGCATGTGGAAGCTACCAAAATGTCGAAATAGCCGAACATACATTCAATACATCTTAACCCACTGACTGATGCAGCATATGTGCTACTTTCAAATGTTTATGCAAAAGCTGGTAGATTAGATGGTGTGAGCAGACTAAGAACAAAGCTACATGATATAGGATTAAGGAAGCAACCAGGATATAGCCTTATAGAACAAGATGTTCTTCATAAGTTTACTTGTGGGGATTTCTTTGATCCTCATGCTACAGAAATTTATTCCATGTTGGACGAGATTGAAAGAAGATTACAGCAACAAGAACTACAACAAACATCATCTCACCACAGTGAAAGGTTGGCTGTAGCTTTTGGGCTTAGAAGCACCCCTGAAAAATCCCCAATCCGAATTGTGAATAAAATCTCCGGATTTATGAAGCTTGTATCTCAAGCCTATAATAGAGAAATTGTAATTCTGAGATAGCCATAGATTCCATCGGTTTCAAGATGGTCGTTGCTCATGTGAAGATTATTGGTAATCCATTTTCTAACTTCTTTATTGTAAGCTGGAAAACAAAAAAAAACAAAAACAAAAAGTTTCATAATCAAATAATAAATATTTTTAGAAAATGTGCAAAACAACTATTCTGTCTTAAAACTTTTATTCAAAAAATGTATCGAATAACTATTCAGTATTTTATCCAACTCTAATATAATTTTCAGATATTTTATCAAACATATTTTCAGATTCAAATCCAATTCGATTCAATTCAACTTAAAATACTTTTTTATAATAATATTTTTCGAAAATTGTAACTAATAGACCGTTAGTTAATCTGATTGTGCCTTCTCAAAGTACAATGCATATCCAAAACTGAATATCCTAAAACCGGCCTGTCCGTTAACCGTTATTGGGTGTGTTTGGTTTAGTATTTTGGATAGGATTTTAGGGATAGTATTGGGTTATTGGATATGGGAGTATTACGAGGTAAATTTTAAAAATTTATAAAAAAGCCCTTAGGTTTACTAATTTACATAAAGACCCTAACATGTAAAATGACAAAAACACCCCCACCATCTGCAGTGTCAGATTCCGGCCACCACCGCCGGAATCTGGCCGGAAAATTTCGTTACGGCACAGACTTGTCGGATCTGTGCCGTAACACGTCGTTATGGCCTTTTCCGGCTAGATCCATGGTGGATCTGGCCGGAAAAGGCCAGATCTACCGTTTGTTTTGGCCGTCGACGGCCGGAAAATGCCAAACGACGGCCATCTTTGGCCGTCAGCGACGGCCAAAGATGTGGCCGTCGTTTTCGGTCAACGACGGCCAAGATTTGGCCGTCGTTGACCGTCAACGACGGCCATTTCTTTGGCCGTCGCTGACGGCCAGATCTGGCCTTTTCCGGCCAGATCCGTGGTGGATCTGGCCGGAAAAGGCCACAGCGGTGAACTTCCGGCCATTTCTGGTCGGAAGTTTGGCCGTTGTACAGATTCCGGCTATCACCGACGGTGGTGGCCGGAATCTGACAAGTTGGGTTGATGGGGGTGTTTTTGTTAATTTTTAAACTTTTTTTTTAGGGGGTATTTAGTGAAATTAATAACTTTATGGGGTTAAAATGTAATTAAAAAAATAGGGTAATATTTTGAGAATATTGTACCAAACGCTATTTGAAAAATAGGATCCAGAATAGGGATAAAAATATTACACCAAACGCAGCCATTAATATTGATCCTGATCCAAGATTGTCTTGGAAAGCCCATCTCTTTTTGAGATTTATGTATTTCTAAATTCTAATTCGTTTACTTGACCAAGACTTCTATGGTAAGTGGCAAATTACATTTCCAGGGTAATTATTAGTCTTCTTTTTCCTTTTAAGGGCCCCACATTATAGCTGGATATATATGACTTTCGTCTTGGAAAGCCCAACTCTTTTTTCTTACAAGGAAAACATTAAGTTGAGATTTATGTATTTCTAAATTCTAATTCGTTTACTTGACCAAGACTTCTATGGTTAGTGGCAAATCACATTTCCACGGTAATTATTAGTGTTCTTTTTCCTTTTAAGGGCCCCACATTATAGCTGGATATGTATGACTTTCATGGCATGCCATCAACTCTCTTTCTGTCATACCTTTGCTAGAGAAGAAGACCAAAGACTTTTAAATGCCAGCTATAATTAGGTCTGCTTTAGCTTTCCCAATCCCAACAACACGAAAGAAAAAAGAGTCCGTCTCTGCTCTTCGTGTTCTTTTCTCACTCTTGAGAGTTTTTTGGTTTATTCATGCTTATTTAATGCTTGATCTCGTATTTGTGTACTAAGGTCGGACGATCCAAATAACATCGTGACATTTGGCAAAAGGCTTTTATAGTGGTGGTTAGCAAGAAGATGATAGATATTATTTGTCAAGTATTATTCGTACAATAATATTTTTAATTCATATAATTAAATAAAAATAACACAGAATTAATGTAAAATAATTATGTTATCTTTTATTTTTTATCTATTAATATAACTTAGTTATAAGTATCTCTTCATCGTGTATTTATTCTAAAATTTTTTAATAGATTTGATACATATTGTTTGGTCAGTATTTACCACTATACTAATCAGAGATGGATGAGATGCAGAAGATCAGTGCGTTAAGTTTGAGAGATAAGAGAACGAGGAGACAACTTTACAGTGCTAACTTTGACAAATTAACAAGGAAGACTTACACTTCTTGCCCAATACAAGACCAAAGTTTGCTTTATATAGGTTTTTAAGTTGATTACAAGCCATATTTCATATTCTAAATTTTCCAAGATATCTACCAAATATTTTCAAGACTAGCTAAGGTTAATTAACGGGTTGCTTCTAGAGTCTGTGTGGGTGATCCAATCATGTGGTTGAGATCAAGTCCTGAGGTGAAGCTTATCCCGATTTATGGCTATGAATTGAAAGCTTCTTGATAACTCAAAACCCTCTCTAGCACATATTTTTGTTTAATAGTGAGAGAATCAGGGGTTGTTATTTTAACAGTTTACTTGACGAAAGCTTTCTATATATTGTAGCTGGGATTTGGCAGGTTTTATTCGTTTTTCAACTGCCTACTGACTTCTATAGCCCCGCATGTGCTGTCAAATCTATTTTGACCCGTATGAAACAGATTAAATCTTTGCTCAAAAAGACGAAGATCTTCATCCACTGAGAATAGATATATGACAAGAATATTTCAACAAAGTTATACAATTTTTTAATGTGGTTGGGAGTTGGGACTCAAAAGGAGCAAACTCAGCAATTACTCAGGTGAGCAGAATGGTTTAGCAAATGCCCTTTCACAGACAAACACATCAAAGGCCATACCAATATTATTGATCTAGCCTACATGAGGTTTATAATATTACCTCCTTTGTAGTTTCCAATATTGCAGTTGGTTCCTTAGTTAAGCAAATTATCCAACCACCTTTCTTGTCAATAATTTTTGCCATTAAATCTGACTGTTGATGTACTTTGACCGTTAAATTATAATATTACCCTAAACATATTTAAAAATTCAAAGAAAACCCTCATAATTTTAATATTTTTCTTAAAATACAAAAAAAAAAAAAAAAAAAAAAATCTTAAGATCCTTTCCGGATTGGTGCAGAGGTATTTTTGTCACATGTATAGCGTAGGTGAGCACGGGTAGCGGTAAACCGGAACCGGGGGTAAGAACCGAACCAGAACCGAAACCTACCCAGAACCTGCACTGTGCGGTAGGTTCCGGTTTCAATTTTTGGAACCGCTACTGTGCGGTTCCGTTCCGGTTCTTACCCCCGGAGGAACCGGAACCTGTAAAAAGGGTACCCTGTTTGAACCTGTAGGGGTACCCGTTTGGAACCTGTTTTGGAACCTGTTTGGAACCTGTTTGGAACCTGTTTGGAACCTGTTTTGGAACCTGTTTTGAAACCTGTTGAAACCTGTTTTGGAACCTATATTGGAACCTGTTTTTGGAACCTGTTTAGAACCTATTTTGGAACCTGGACTATAATGAAATATTGTGAAATGTAAATAATGGGGGAGTTTCTATTATTTACATATAAAAAATTTAAAATAGAAAAAGTTAAATTTTTAGAATAACCTATTAAATAATAACGAATACAATTATACTTATTACATATAAATTACACCATATTAAAGCTTTAATATATTATAATACTTAATATTAAAGTTTTGATCAATTAAGTGAATAATTGGAATTATGATCCAATTAAAAGTGTTTTACATTTTTAATGTTACTAAAAGAATATTTTTGAATAAATAGTATATTTGATTGAGTAATAATATATTTAGTTTTTACTTCAATTATCAAGTTCTAAGTATATCATAATAAATTAGTATTAATTAATTATATATGATAATTGATAAACATTAATAAATTTAATTACGTATTAAATATCATGCTTAATCAATTATAACATTACATTATAGTTAAATGATTACTTAATTAATTAAATTTTATAACATTACTTAATTGATTTATAGTATAATTAATTATGCATTACATTAATTGATTACTACTTAATTAATTGACTTTATATAAACATTAGTACAACTTAATTAATGATAAAAATTTAATTAATTATAATATTACATTAAATTTATAGTATGATATTTAATAGTTAATTCACTATAATATACATTATAGTATGTTTATAATTAATTATAACATTACATAATTAATAATTACTATTGATTATGAGTTATGATATATGTTTTAAAACTTAGTAATTATTAATTTGCTACATAAACATTAGCACACAATACTTAATTAAATGATAAGAAATTTAATTAATTATAACTTACCTTATAAACATTTCATTATAAACATTAATTAAACATTACATTATAGTTAAATAATTACTCAATTAAATTATAATATTATATTACATTATATAATGATCATTTACTTAATTATGCTACATAGTTAAATGATTACAATTACATAATTAGTTATGAATTTATAACATTACATTATAACATTAGTAATTTACTAATTTACTATATATTACATTACTTAATTAAACGTTAAAAATTTATTAATTATAACATTACCTTATATATTTATAATATAATTACTTAATCAATTATAACATTCTATTATAAACATTAGTATATTAATCAAATGATTTGAAATTTAATTAATTATAATATTAATTATAGTTTATAATATGATTATTTATTCATTATAACTTTACATTAACTATTATAGTATGATCATATATTAATATAACATTACTAATTAAATAATTACTTAATTGATTATGAGTTGATATTATATTTTAAACATTAGTAATTACTATTTACTATATAACATTAGCACAAACTTAATTGAATGTAAAATTTAATAATTATAACATTATCTTATAAACTTCATTATAAACATTAATTAGCATTACATTTATTAAATAATTACTCAATTAAATTATAATATTATAATATTACATTATATTTGATTACTTA